TTTAATAATATTTGAATATTTGATTTTATAAAAAAAATGAATATTGAATATTTGATAGTTTGAAAATTAGGAATTGAACTGTTATTGAAATGAAATATATGCCATGGGTTGAGTATGAATTTAGCGTTATGTCCAACCATGGAAATTTCCCGTAGAATCTATTTTGATTTTGATGGAATATCTATTTCACTTGTTTTAAGAGAGAATTAAATGATTGTTCAGTTTTTTGTCTTTGGAAACTGTCAAAACTTTTTATTAATCCGAATCCCAAAAGAGCTTAATTACATCATTAGGCCAGGCTTGAGTAAAGGGCATGCGAGAATTTCAGGTTAAATGTTAAATGTTAATTTTTGTCCCTCAACTTGAATGTTTTATATAATTTTTATTTTTTAATTTTTTTTATATACTTTTTACGTTTTTATGAAAATGTATTTTTAGAATTCTTTTGTCTTTAGTCCATTAACTAGTCTTATTTTGAAAATTTAAGTTGAGGGATAAAAAATATATATTATAAATTAAAGAATTAAGAATATGTATATTTGGATAGCCTCAATAGAATAAGATGAAATGATTAAAAAAAATACATTTTTTATGATCAAGAGACTAAAAAGTATATTATAAAAAAATTATGGATGAAATCTGTACAAAACCCTAAGTTGAGAGAGCAATATTGACATTTAACCATTATTTTATTACAAAATGCATTTTTTTGTGATCTACAGGGAAGGGAGGTAGTGGGTCATGAGTGACCTAGTGCAACTCAGAACCAACGAAAAAAAAAAACACAAATAGGCTAGCTGGTGAGCTACTGAATTCTTTACTTTATCTCTCAAGTTGTAGTCTTCCTGGTTAATTATTTTTGGCTTGACTTGGACTTTGATCGGGAAAGATGATTAGCGCGTAGGAATGCTTTATTAGATAAAGGAGATTGAGTTGATTCAGGGTATCTACTTATATGAGGAAAAGAAAAAAGCGTAGGAAAAAAGCATCCCTTATTATATCTTTTGGGTCTTTTTTAAAATCTTTTTGTGGCACCGTGTTTAACTTTCTGTATGGACGCAAGTGATTTTGCACTAATTAATTAATTAATCAAGTGAAGCCTGTCAATTTAACAACTTTGGACATTGGATTGTAAATCATGTGATGAAATATATATATATATATATATTGTGGCCGTCCACCATTTAATGTAAAAATTGGAGAAATGAGCTGAAAGAATGGTCGGTCAACTGTTTATGGGAGATCTAGCCATTTTTGTTGGCTTTTATTTTGGACATATTTCATTTTCTTTACCCCTTATGTTCACATACAGGAACGGTACTAATTGGAGATAGAAGAGTCCTTGTAGTTGACGTGGTCTTTGGTTCAAAATGGCTGGAAATACCTCATCTACAAGTTCATGTCCTGCAGCCATGAAGGCTACATCTAATGGGCTGTTCCAGGGTGACAACCCTCTTGATTTTTCCCTGCCACTTGCCATACTGCAGATATGCCTTGTGGTTGCGCTAACTCGAATTCTTGCTTTTCTTCTAAGGCCTCTTCGGCAGCCTCGTGTGATTGCAGAGATTGTTGTGAGTTCCATTTCCTTCTTATACTTGTTTTCAAAGTTACAGTTTTCTTTCCTATATGCTTAATTACCATATATAAATATTTAGGGTCTGTTTGGTGCAACTTGTTGGAACTTTTGCTTTTTTTACTGTTCATAAGTGATAAGTTTAAATTTTTATTGAAGGAAAAATTTTAAAATTGTTTTTAGAGATGAAAAAAAGTGAGTAAAAAAGAAGTTTATGAAAAATTTAAATTTGAAGCTTTTGATCTTTTATTGTTTAGGGTCTTTTTAAGGTTAGAAAATGTTTAAAAATGTAAGTTTTTAAAAAAAATTTAAACTTATGAAACATAAATAATATCCGAAAGCTGAAACACTTGAAAAGTTGCACCAAACGGATCAGCAAGTTTCTTAACTACTTTAGTCGACTAATAAACCGCAGTGGGGTAGTCCTTAAAAGTTTGTGTATGTGTTCTTTGAACGGCAGCGCTTAAAAGTTTGTTGTCTACTTCCCAATTCCCATAAATATATGTAAGATCTTGACCTACATTTCCTCTCAAGGGCACCCCCCATTCTCCTTCCTTTTTCATTTGTAATGGCAAGGAATCCTCTTTTTCTTGCCATTACATATTCTACAATTGTTGCTTATTAATTTTTCTTTTTTGGCCTTCATAATTGCTTATTACTTGTGTGGTTTAAATTTTGAATACATACATTTCTGT